GATGTTCTATGGACATGCATTTATGGTAGTTTCTTTAATTTGGAAAATAATTTAGCACATGGTTTTGCTCTGAATCACTCACGGTAGTTCTTCAATTATATTCCATTTCATGTTAGAATACAAATGGGTTTATGTCCACTGAATTAGTTCTGCTCATTCTTGATTGATGATAATGAAGAGAAGAAAACCCACGACCAGAACTGTGGAGGCATGCATGAATGAGAGGATATCCTGATAATGCTGTTCATGTGCTTCTGCAATCTTTGATAATTTTCTCTGTGCTGTGTGAGAAATTGATGAGAGAAAAGAAGATATTTCTTTTACCATATAACCAAAAATGATGATAATCTGTTATTTTAGGCAGAAGAATCCTTGACTTCCCTTCCTATTATATTGATGATTGTTCTTCCTGTTTGTCTTCTGGGTTTTCTTCTCTGTTTTAATCCCCCTATAATTCTGTGAGAAAGGTTATACTTTCTCAACACGTGAAAAGATTTTCATTTTTTTCATCTCTCTCTCTCTCTCTCTCTCTCTCTGGTTATAGCTTACTGTGTAACTGATGAGCCACTTCAATTGCAATTGCTTGATCTTAGCCATCCAGAGAAAGATTTTTCTTTTCTTTTTTTATCATTGCCCATACCTTTATGGACTGTCCAGAGCAGGTGGATCTGTCTGAATGTATGGACAATCCGATCTGGTGCCAGTTCTGAGCTAATGCCAATCTAAGACGTAGGCCATCCTTCAGGCAGGCAGGCTTTATTGATGAATGAGTGCACCATTTGCTATTTAAAATATATGTGTCATGGGGTCATGGGGCGTGGCAGTCTGTCAAACTATACTCCGGTCACTATTCTTGCCAATTATGGTTTTTCAACGCAATAACTTTCCTCCTAGCTTTTGTCAAGCTTATGGCTTTATCTGCTTTTATTTTTGGGCTTTTCTTGCAAATTATAAGTACAAATTTTGAGGTCTGCAACTGTAATCTATGGGCTATGCAGCAGGTCCAATCCCAACTCATTCCTTTCTTTCGCTCTTCCCAGCAAGGTTTCATGCATAAGCCGAGTTCTTGAGTCAGACCCATCTGGGTTAAGCTCTTCTGAAAATATGAGTCTGGCTTTCTGTGGCTTGTGTGTGTGAAGCCCTTTAGACTTGGCAACTTTTCTGCATAATTAATTAATTCCTGCTCAGAAGTTGGCAGGGAGCAAGGATCAAAATTTCGCACTGTGGCCCGTATCGACGATACCTATCGTATAAGGACTGGATTCAGATAACCTATGGTGATCAATTATATTGCCCAAGTAATTCACGACAAACTACAAGCTTGGGTCCTCAGACTCAAACCCTCTCTCTCTCTCTCTCTCTCTCTCTCTCATGTTATGTCTTCTCAATTTGAAGGTATTTGTCATTATTTTGTTCTTAATTTCACTCAGATCCCAGTCAGGGAGTAACATGTATCGATCGGAGCCTCGGAGACTTGAAGGATTCTGTTACTTCTTAATTTCACTTAGATCCCAGTCAGGGAGTAACATGTATCGATCGGAGCCTCGGAGACTTGAAGGACTGTTAGTGTCCTCCCCTCGTTTAGCTTTTATACATAGAAAACGCAATAGGACAAGTCTATGATCTCTTCCGAGTTGCTAGAACTAATAGCAACCCAGGTTCAACCAGGATGCTTTCTCCAATCGACCGAAGCTTGGCGAAACCAACCAACCTGCTATTGTTGACAAATGCGACATGGTTCAGTTTCAAATGGGTTCGGTTGGTTAGTCACTACTTGGTTCATCAACTCATCACGTAATATTAGAAACCCAGAACCCCCTAAACCCTCCCTCCCATAAACTTGGTTCAGAGTTGAGACCTTTAGAATGGTTTCTGCTTCTATTTGCTTGCCCATTTCCTTCTGCCTGCATTTTTGTCAAAAGGAACCCTGGGAAGAGGCATTTGATTGGGACAAGAAGGTCAATGGGCCCATCATAGGATTTGGGTTTTCTAGATTATAGAAAGTTAAGTGCAATTAAAGTCCAACGTTATCCTCTCTCTCTCTCTCTCGTTTTCATATATTTTCTTCGCCACCAATTTGAAAAATTTCTCTCACAGCGGATATATACAAAATCAGTGTTTTCAACCTGTAATTGGCATGGGTGATTGAACTGGTGACCCAGTGACCTGGAAAGCTGACTGGGATGGAGGACTTTGGCAGTTTTGATCATCTCACTAGGTGACCCACCAGGTTAAGCCACCCAACTCGCCACCTGGACAGCCTTCTGGCTTGACCCAGGTGGGTTTTTGAAGCATCTTACTTCATTGCCAGAAATTATGTTACTAAGGCCGAGTTTGGGAGTACAAATACAAATATGTAGAGTGCAAAACCTTGTATTTTGTATGTATTTGCACTGTACATATTTGCATTTGTACTCCTTCCAAATTCAGCCAAAAGTCTTTAATTGGTCATGGAAATATGTTCGTATTCAGTTCCTCCCTTTAGAAAAGGTTTGGTAAGATTTTACATGAATATATAGCCAAAAAAAATGTCTTTATGGTGAAGCAAAATGCCAGTGGTATGTGGAGGAGAGGGATTTAAAAAAAAAATCAAATTCCCTTCAGATATGCAACATATATTACCTTGCTAGAACCAGCAAAGTTAGGGTTGGTGGGGTTCATTTAGGTTGAAGGTTTGTGAAGAAGAGTAGTCAAAAATTACAAGTTGGGAACCAGTAGGAGAGGAGGAAAAGGAGAAAGGAATGCATGGAGAGAGATAGAAGATGGGCCCAATATGTCGGGAACACAGAGTAGTGAGGTCGCAATCAGCATTTAACCGTTATATAACCATTCGAACAATGGGACATCAAATACGACTGTTCAATTCTGTCCTTCAAAATTGGGGTGCCTACAAATTCCCTTCTTCCATGTAAGTAACATGCAGTGATGATGCAAAGTTGAACCTCCTTCACCATCTATGACATGGGCTTCCATAAAATAGGGATAAGAAAAATGAAGTCCTAATAAGATTCTTATGGCTTTGTTTGGCTTGATAGAAAATAAGAGAGAAATAGAAAGTTGAGGAAAATTTCTTAACAAATTTTGTCAAATTCTTTAAGAACTTCTCCTCAACTTCTTGTTTCCATCATTTTTATCAAACCAAACACAGCCTAAAGGATTTAGTCCATGCACGAAAATGTATGTATGTATGATCTATACTCTATTTATATTAGCCATGTAGAAGGGTAATAAGGCTACTTTAGACTGTTCACTAGATAGGGGATCCTATGAAAACCATGTTGTGAATCCTATAGTCCACATGATCCCTATGATGCCAAAAAGAAATGATACTAGAAAGGCTTTGACCAATCACAACCCATCCTGAATTTTGATTAAAACTCGATTGATTGGTTACTACTTTTATGATGCAAGTTGATTAATTATAAGTTTTAGTTACTGTTATCATGTTGTATGCAAGGTTCTAAATATCAATACAGGCTGATACGCCGTGTGTCGGTGCTTTTTTATGTTTTACTTATTTTTTTTTTCGAAATCGGTTCAGAGGGGCCGGTTTAAGGCTTGACTACCCTCTGAACCAGTGGCTGACCCGATACAACCCCTGTAGGGGTGTATCGGAAAACTAGCAACATGATACGTTTTAGTCAATACGGGCTGATACATATCGATACTTTGAACCTTGATTGTATGTATGTATATATGTATATATATGTATGTATGTATATGTGTACAATTTCACAATGTATAATAATCAAACTTAAACTATGGCAAGGCAATGATTTCCAGGGTAATTCTTTTGTTATACACCATCTGCACACAAATAACCATGTAGGGCAGCACATGCACACAAGAAGGATCTCTACATGTGATATACTTAAAAACGCCATGTTGAATATATTTGGCTCCCCGAACCCTTCAATGTCTTGCATGCTCAACCAGCTAGATTGATGATTTCAGTCATGATTTTAAGCCTTTCTTTTTCAGTGGGGCATGGGTGCTTGAGTCTAAAATAATTAATGGCAAACATATATCAGGTTAGACCCATTGAGAAAGCATTTCAAAAATCAACAGCCAGAGAAATCACTAATGAGGTTTGAACACATCATCATAACATGCATGCATACATGCATGTACATGCAGCACATACGTGCAAAAACACATATACGCACAATGATTAGATTAATATGGTAATTAAGCAAACTGTTGGCATTGGCATGCTTTAATTAACCATGTATATATTCTAATGGAATAAGGAGGCTGTTAGGGGGTAAAACCCCATATAATAAGGATCTTTCTTGATTGATTTGAGGTCCCAGCAATGGCTACTAGCTAGACTCATCCCCCAAATAGCATCGGAGATGTCACCGAAAGAAGGGTACCATGACATCCAAAATAGGATGGTGGTGTGTAACACACTAAGCTGCTTTACTTTCCTTTCCATATGTTCATGGCACAAGGGCATCTACTAGTTTGCTTTTTCTTCCCTTTCTTTCTCCAAAAGTAGATATATGGATCCAATCAAACCTGATATCTCAACTTTTTTGACCTGAATGATGTAAAATAGTTAAATGGACATGCTTTATTTAGGTTGTGTTTGGATAAGCTCCACGATTTGTGCTTCTAAATCTCAAAAGCACAAAGGCTTTAAGTGCTCTAATACATGTTTTGCCTTCAGATTAATTATTCTTACCATTACCAAACGCTCAAAACACTTTTTGACTCAATTTTGTTTTCAACCGCCCCTTGCTCAAAAGCAAAAGCTTATCCAAATGGAGCCTTAATTAATTAACTTGCCTCAACTTTGAATCTTCTTATTAGTCTAAGAAGAAATTAAGATAGATTAATCATAAGCTATAATGTCACTGATAATCACGGATTTAAACAACCCCTAAAGTAAAGCTGAAGGCAACAACAATTAAAGAATATCCACCATCACCGTCATACTTAAATGAAAGAAGAATTGCAGTCAAGGAATCCTCAAAAATCTTCGACACTCAGGAAAGTAGATAGAATATTGCTTTTCTGCCTTGAACAGCGACTTAAATTACAAGTATGGAATCTGCCCAGTAAATAATAGAACTTGGTATGAAGAAGAGGAAGAAGAAGAAGAAGAAGCATCCGTGATCCGACTAATATCTTTCCAGTCATAACATTAAACACAAAATTGTATAACCCATTTAGTTTTCTGGCCGAACACGACGTGACAATGGGTAGGATGTTGAGTGAAGAGATACGACTGCTGGTTGGACAGCCAGATACCCAAAGTTGTTGGCAATTAAGATGCTCACAACCAGATATCCCACAAGAACATTGATTCATTCCTTTGGGAGAAGTAGTAAGTTTGCGCATGTAAAGCTGTAACTTATGTGGACTTGTACAGGAGTCATCTACTCCTATAAATGATTTTGTCAACTCTCTCCTTCTCAGTACATGTTGGTCTGGTTCTTAATTTGGGTCATTTAAACTGCTTTGTCATAAATACAGTTACTACTACAACCATCCAAGGAGAAAGGATGAACAACTAGGATCTGATGCAGAGAACTTACTCTTCGACTAGACCAAACCTATGTCTCCTGCGCTTTATCCTCGGCCTTACACAACTCATCTGTCGTTGTCCCTACAGAGACTTGAGTGGGGTAAGTGATGGGTCTTTATTTCTTTTTTTTTTTTTTCCCTGGGTGGATCAAGAAAGGTTAGCTTCACTCTCTAAAGCTTTTTCTCTGCAATAAGGTTTCCACTTTCCATGTGGTTATGCCTTCTGAAGGATAAAATAACAGTGGTGCATATTTTGTTATTCACTTGTATAGATATTTGCTTCTTCTGATAAAGGCTTCACCTAACTTTTGTAGCCTTCATTTTAGCGACCTGTACAAAAGCTTGTGGAAACCAAATTTTGGTGGAACCCCAAATGACAAAAGGCAAAACATTCAAGTAACTATATAACAAGCAGTGTGGTCCATATAATAGAGCAATAATTGGATCAGTTCATCCCCATTAGCCAGTTTGTCTGTGGATCATATGCAGTCAGGTTCCTGGAAATGACTCTGAAGGTTGTTAGTTTGTCGACTGACTGATATAGATGGTGCTTTACAGGCATCCATTTAGGTCCATGAGAAGTTGAGAACTCAGACAGCAATAATTGGATGCATCTTATTGTAGTTAGAGCTTACAGCTTCTTATATGGAGTTTCAACAATTATTTGCAGAAAGAAATACAGAAATAATTGCAACTCACCACAGAGAAAAGAAAAACACAAAAACATAGATCACAGATTGAAGTGTCCAGGATCCCCGAAATCAAGGAAAGAAGAGGACAATCATTTTTACCGGATTCCCATTTTGTGGTAGACAGTTCTGCAATAGAAAGGCTAAACTCCATTGCTTTTTCTCAAAAATATCCATGCAAGATTTTACAGTATCAACTCACAACTCATGCATCACAGCTTCCCAGATACCCAGATTGATTGATGGGGGGTCTGTCATATCTCCTGCTCATACATCAGATGTTGGTTTTTATTTGGCAATGGGTTATCTTGCTTGTTATGGAATTATGAGTTGGATTCTTCAAGTATAGAAAATACTGGGTAATTGTTATTTTATCAATCCATACAGAAGGATAACCAAGAAATACAGAGTGATGGGTCCACCATATCTGATCAGTAGTGGAATCTAATGCTTGGAAGATATAAAATATATCCAATCAGCTGACAAAGGAAAAAAGATGTTCAGAGAAGCAATTCATCAAACCTTTTAGAACGACAAGCTTCAAGCCTTCAACATCAGAAAAATAATATTCCTCATGAACCCTAACTATTCAATGAATATACTTCTGCATGAACATCATTTTTTTTTGGTAGTATATTGATTGAAGAGAGAATGGAAGATATTATTTAGAGAGAGAGAGAGAGAGAATCCTACATAATGAAATGAAATTGCACCACTCATTGCTTAATAGAACATATATAGAATAGAACTTCAGAAGAAAAATAACACGCGAGATTAAAATATCATAACAGCCTAATTATCTGACAGCAAACATCAAATGAAAGGACTAAATTTACTCATATTAGACAACAAGGCCATTAAATTAGGGGGGAAAGAGTAAAAACTGAAAGAAAATAAACTAATGGATGAATAAACAAGTTACATATCATTACAGCAAATCGTTTACATCAATCTAGGTTTTCTGAGTTCTCCAAAATTAATACAAAACGATCCGTCTATAGCTAAATTTCCCTAGAAAATTAAATCACCCTTCCATATCCATATCCCCAGATCATAAAAACCTTATCTTATTTGACTTTTGACAATTATGAAATAATTTGGGTCTTTTGAGTTCCCTGGATTAAACTATGAATTATGGGCTATTATCCAGTAATTCCTTATCAATTGCCTAACCAGAAAGGAAGGAAAAAGGAAACCATTAACAGTGATGCATCAAGCACTTTTGCACTGCAACTAGAATTATAAGCAGAGAAGTCTGCATTTAGAGCCAAGCCCCATCCGATTTGACTACTTTGTAACAAAAAATGAAAAGAAAAGAATGAAGGAAACCAAACGACCATGGGCAACAATACCATGTTAATTAAGTAGGATTATAACAGAAAACCTGAACAAACTTTGCAACAAAGACAAAAGTGAAACATCATGAACACAAGTTTATGCAACGAACCCACAAGTGAAACATCAGATCCAAAGTGTATCACCGCTGATTCAATTGTAAAGATTAAAAAAAAAACTGCATTAACAAGAAAGAAAGCCATCGAATTCCTTAGCAGCCATGTAACATAAACCAAATTCTAACAAGCACAACACGAATTTATTAAAGTTAGTAGAATTCTAGGAGAAAAATTACTTGAACAGCCAAAGAACTGATGGATTCATTAGCAGTACAGCGAGTGCAAAGAGATAATTCCAGTCTTGGAGACTAGTTCATCATGCAAATGAAGAAGTGAAGAAACTAAGCCGAGTTTTGGGTTTGATGGTACCAATTAAGGCAATGAGTGTGTTTGGGTTTGATAACAAAGGCAAGAGACAACGAGCATCCAGAGAGTCCAGACCCTATCCGTATCTTCCCACAGCTTTATTGAACCGCAGTAGCCATGCATAGCCCCACTTTGTTACGCTAGGTAGCTTGTTAGCAGGATACTGATCATGCAGTTCAAGAAAGCTGTGGAAAAGTACAAACAGGATCATCTGTTAAAGTGTGCAAACACCACACTAGAGGTTAGATCTTCTCATCTCCCTCCAACCCTAAAAGAAGAGATGATAATGATGATGATGATGATTATGGCGATGATGGCAAGAGAGAGAGAAAGAGAGAGAGAGGTGGTTGATGGGGTGAGAAGAGGAAGAGGAAAAGGAAGAGGAAGAGAAGGAGATGTAGGTTGAGAGGTGGGTTGAAGCAAGTATTTATAGGAGAATTGAGAAGAAGGTTTCGAAACCCAATCCCGAGAAGAATATCAGGCCCAAAAACTGAACCACCCACCTTTTTTCTACCCCTTCTCGCACCAATTAAAAAAGTTGAAGACTTTTTGTTTTTGGACTCATCAACCCAGAAAAATAAATAAAAGAATGGTAAGATCACGGACATCGGTGAGGCTTTGATGCAGCCTGCCGGATCCAACGGTGGTGGTAGCCCTTGTGGGGCACATGGGTTGGTCCCACATCAGATCTGTCAAATTTTTTTTGTGTTCGTTAAGTGGCGACTGACTGGTGGATTCTGATCTCTTTCTCTTTCTCATCATCAGCTTTCTCTCACTCACAGTCACTGATCAGTGATCACTCTTCACTCCCTCCCTTTTCTCTCTCAAACCCTAAATTAAAATTAAGATTAAAATTAAATTAACCTCAAACTCAAATGATTCAAAAATTAAGTTCGGCACATGCTCGCATGTGACAGACGGTGGCCCACCGTCGGAGCGGGTGATCTACTACATAGACCCCGTTTTTCCCGGACGGAGGTCGCGTTGTCGGGTTGGTGTGGCGGACATTTCTACTTGTACGATGCTCTCTTACCCAAGCAAGGGAAGGGAGAAAGAAGGAAGCAAGGGGGGAGAGGGATGCGCAGGTTAAGCCTCTGCGCCTTGGGATTTAGTGGGTTGCCCCATTAAATTTAGCTGGCAAACACCAATCAAGCCAATCCCTTTCACTAGCTAGCCTTAAGCATTATTACTAATTAAAATTCTTCTCTCTCTCTCTCTAAACACACATGCCCGACACCATTGAAGGGGTTTGTCAATTTGATTTAACCCACAACTTTGTCTTTAGTTCTTGTTCATGTTCCTTAATTGCTTCTCCTTTTTTACCCGACCCATCAACCCATTTTAGGTTTAACCGGGTCTCCTTCTTCAGGTTGAGTGGATTTTGGTTGAGACCCTGTTGTTGCTAAGGTATGTGCCATGAATTTATATCAAAATTGTGTGAGTTTTAAGGGTTTACGTTTCATTGGATTCTGGAAGTTGAAAGGATCATCAGATGGGATTGTATGATTGGGTGACAAGGATTAATGGGCTTTCATTAATTGTGCATATTTCTTTTGTGTAGACAGCTAAGTTTTGTACAAACTTCATTTCTGTGTGGTACAAGCATGCTTGTTGTCTCATTGAATCACAGCAGGTCAATGAATTCCTTTCACCTGAGGAAGAGAATTAACACTGTTTTCTAATGCTGATAGTGTGCAATTCACAAATTTCATTTATTTTCTTAATTTCTAACTGTAATGTTGGGTTTATTCTATTAAATATACTAGTGATTAATCAATTAACTGAAAAATTACATGGGAGATTGATCTCCAATTCTCAGTATGTTGGATTTCACAGTGGCACAACATGTGCATGCTTTATCTTATAAATCATGATAAAAGAAAGAACATTATTTTATTAAGTGGTTAGGAATAAGAGCTGGCAGGTACTAATTTGGGTTTTAAATATTGCAGTTTTAGAACATGTCCAACATGATTGAAGTTTGTCAATGTATCTAACTGTTTAATGTTGTCCTTTTTCATTGTTCTTCCAAATCATCTTAATTATCTTTCTTTTTTAATTTCTTTCTCTATTTAAGAACCTTGATGACTTAAATAATAAAATTAGGGTTCTCAGGAAAGGTAAGTCCTGTTTATGAGATCTGCTACACTACCCTAAAGTTACATGAATATTATGGTATTGAGATTAAATGTGTTGAACACATGAACCACTAATTAACTACTGTTCATATGTAACATTGAGGATCTGTACCACCAAGGTACTCCGTCTGTAGTGCAACTGCCCTTTAATGTATCATTTGTTTAATGCCATCTGCCCATGAGAAAAAAAAAAAAAAGAAAAAAATAGCTGGGTCTGCCTGTTTTTTTTTTTTACCCTTTTGAATGCTCAAGGCTAATTTCATTCAAAATCTCAGTTCCCATCTCCCTACAAATTAAATTGCTTCTCCCTTATATGTACACAGGATATGTTAAATTACTAGTGGCACATGGAAGTGCTAAACTGGAATGATCATGGCAAATTGTTGGATGAATTTCCCCTAATTAGCCACAATAGTTTGTGAAGGAAAAATATCAATCTACAACAGAAAAAAAAATAAATAAAGTATTTGATAATGTTGCTACAGCCAAATCTGGGTGAGAGGATGTGACAACCACACAGAGAGAGAAAGAGAGAGAGAGAGTAGAAGGTGACTAATCCTTTCTCCTTTCATCCATGTTGTCCTTCTTTGTTTGTGTTGAGCAGTCTCTTCACCGCCTAAATTATGATGTTCATTTTAGCATTGAAAATTTGCAATGGTAACAACAATGAGATATAGGTGAGATGTTGTAGTTTGATGGTGATATTGAAACTACTATTTCAATTCACTTCAACAGAAAAAAAAAAGCTTATTATTTTCACCTTCATTTTCACTCTATTTATAGACTAGATTTTTATAAGGGACCATACATATTCTAATAAACACAAAACCAGAAAAAAAAAGAGCTTCCTGTACTGGTGAATATATATATTTTTCCCATATGATAAGATTATTCTGTGCTCATACCACTGATATAAATAAAAAACAAACCCTGACATACTCAATAAAGTTATTTTGTTTTAACCCTAGATGAAAAATTAAGGATATTTGGGTCATCTATAGACATAAAGCAAGGATACTCGCCCTAGTTTTTCACCTGATCAATAAACTAATAACATGGAGGTAAATACAAAACTTAAAAGAATACATAGATATATGAAAAAATATCTAAATCATGCAGGGGCTGTGAAAAATTCCCAAATAAATAAACAAAAGCCCCTTATTTATATACATAGCTTAATTTACATATGTGGAGATCCGGGTTAGGGCAGATGGAGTGACATCGGGCGGGTCGGTAGGAGTTGCCACCTAATTTTTACACAAAAATTAGGAAAAAAAGGGAGAAATAGAGAAAATGTGGTTAGAATGATTTTGGAAAACACTTTAGTCTAAAAGAGGGGAATTTTAGTTCAAAATCATCTATTTGACTCTAAATTCAGTCTTTATCCAGGCAAGGTAAGAGATTAGACCATGAGTGTGGAATGAGTTAGATAGCACACCCACCCGGAATCAAAATTCTGGTCTCTATTTCATTCTTTTATTTCTTAGGATTTAAATTTTACTATTTTGGCCTATCAAATCATATAACCAGGGGTAATTCAGCTCGCCTACATGTCTATGTGTAATTCGGATCTGTTCAGCAGGCCGTCAAACCAATGATAACGATCCACACCAGTGCATAATAAATTTATGGGCCTCACTATGAAAGGTGCAAATCCCAGAGCCCACTGAACAACCATAGCATTCAACTAATCCTTTCAGTGTGAAACAACATGATATGCAAGCAATTATAATCATTAGTTCTAGGTGATGCTTGAGCAATAAAGAATTATCCATGATGAGTTAGTGATAAAACATGCAAACAAACAATTAAAAGACTAATTTTAAAGCTGAAAGGACTTCCTATTTATTGGATCTTATTTATACTTAATAACCCTATGAGTATGAGCCAATGAAAGGCTTATCCTAGTAGTACTACCTTAAAACTACTATAACAAGGAAATTAATAAGTAAGTTAATATTGCATTAGACAAGAAAAAGGAAGACTATATAGAACGAAAATGACCAAGAGCAAATAAGATGATGGAAAAGGCGTAAGGACCTACCTGAAGTGGAAAAGACATAAACTTCTTTAGCAACTTAGCAACCTGGCGATCCAGACATGTTGGCCATGAACTCTAAAGTCTTAAAAACCTCAACGATCATCCAAATTCAAAAGGAGATTATACTCGCTTTATGTGAACTTTCAACTATGAAAGATCACTCTTAGTATATGCTTGGTTTTGTGGCGTTTATTGAAAAAACTCTGTTACATCAGTGTCACATAGGTGTTGGTTTTTATTGCATATGAAATCACTATTTAGTCTTTCACCGTTTATCAAATAAATACTAAAAAATAGAAATACTTTGACTTATGTGCATCAGGTATTTGGGGAAACGGCAAATTCATGTTTTCCCTAATGCATGGAAATTTCATGAAATGACATGATGATGTGGTGCATTTTATCTGACGTGGAAAACAACTTTATGGGGTATTACTTGAAACGCTTATAAAATGCCCAACCAAATAGAAAAAGCCAAAAAAAAAACCATTTAAAATAGCATTTTTCAGACAAATGTTTATCTAAAAATGCCTGTCAAGAAACTCCAACGAAACCAAAAATAACGCTAAACTCACCACACAGGGAGAATTTACTTCTCCAAAAGCTCTAACTCGAGTGGCTGGGTCTCTACAATGGAGAACGAGCTTCTACTGACTTGTTCATTTCTTCTTTGAGCTTGACACCTCAAGGCTCCCCAAAACGAATTCACATCATCTGTCCCTTGGTACAGAAGATTTTCTATACCAGATTATTATTGGTCTGGTACAGAAAATGTGAACTCCCCCAAAACCCCTTATTTATAGGATTGGAGGACCAAAGTCCCGAGAAAAAAATAAAATAAAACTTGAATTCAAAATGAAGTGGAATGAGATCAAAAGTATCATTAGGTCTCTGCTCAAAAAGCTACACTGTAAATGACCAACATACCCTTGATGGTAATACCTACACTACATATACTAAGGCCGTTTTTTATTGTAATATGAATAAATTTGTATTGATGCAAAACTATGATAGTGCAAATGATTTGAGTGTAAATTCTAATCTATTTATATTTCAAATTTTAACTTATTTTATTGATTGTAATATAAATGAAGTAAATTAATACATGAAGTAGAACAAAGTAAAGTCCAAAACAAAATAAAATAAGAA